CCCTGGAGCCCCCTAAAAATTTATTAAAACACCCCTCTAAAAACCTTTTCAATTTGGTTAATTTAAACAATTTTTTATCAATAAACCCTTTGCAACTTCACGTCAATGCGAAGTTTTTTCTTAAGGGGCTTGTGTGTCCCTGTCCTCAGAATACTCCTGCGCGATGTGCAGAAACCCATCCTGTGTTGGCTGGGGACCCTGGTACCTTTCTGAAGCAATTCTTCCCGAGGTTGGACCTTCTGGAGACCCAAACAGACAGAGGCAATGTGGCCTTGCCTGCCACATGCCCAGCAAATGGCAGAGCGAAATCTGCAGTCAGCTCACTGTGGCGTCCTCCACATCTGAAGCACTGAAGAGATGCTGGGGTCTTGTCCGGATGCCCCTTCGGCCTTCTTTCAGCTGGCTGGTGAAGTCTGTCCACCTCCTCTTCAGGATCTGCTTCTGATTTTTCTCGAGCGTCCTCTTGATGGACGGTAGCAGCGGCTGGAGGGTTCCTGGTGAGATGCAAAACCTTCACAGCACCACCTGCTGCTTCCTCAGCTGCCACCTCTCTTAACGCATCTTGGAACGAGACCTCTTCTTTTGCAAAGATCTTTTGTTGTAGGTCTCTACTTCTCAAGCCACACACGAAGCGATCACGCAGCCTTTTTTCCAGATCCTTGAACTCACAAGGCCTGGCCACTTGTCTTAAGGCAGCAATAAAGTCCGCAGCAGATTCACCCGGCCTCTGGTCTCTTTGCTCGAACGCGTGCCTACAAGCGATCACAGATAATTTAGGCTGGAAATGTTCCTTCAGCATCTTCTTCAAGTCAGCGTACGTTACTGACTCTAGAAGTGCAGGGGCCACCAGATTTTCCGCGATGTCAAAAGCTCCCTGTCCACAAGCACACAGAAGAGTTGCTGCCTTCAGGCCATCTTCTCTGATTTGACTTACTCTAAAGTAGTTCTCCACCCTTGCTACATATGAATTCCATCTCTCTGGGTGGGAGACATCAAAATCAGTCAAGCGGCCAATCTTCGACATTGTAAGCTTTATGGCCTTCACTAATTGCCTCCTCTGCAAGCTAACAGTTGGGAAAGGGTCCTTTTGCCGAGCTCACCTCCAGCGACGCTGTACTGGCAGGCTGAGTCGCGAATGCAGGACGCCATCTTCCTGATCATCAGGACTTCCTTGGTGAGTCCTAGTTCTTTTCCTTGCTTGCAGGGATCCCACCTTCGTCGCCAGTGTTGTGTTTTCGGTTCGTTGGCAATTGATGAAGATACATGGTGAACAACAACAAGCTCTTTATTACACTCTCCTACAACCAAGCAAAATGCAAAAGGCACGCAGGCCTTTTTATAGGGCATGAAACCCAGATAGTGTGAACCAATAGGAATTGACCATTTTCGCGCCTTGCGCATGCGCACAAGGCTGGCGCCACCCTGTCTGGTCCCGGGCAGCTTTTGGATTGCCCGGGACCATTTGCAACAATCCTGAGCCTGCTTTCAGCTCTTGCAGGCTCAGGATACAACAAGTCTGGCCAATGAAGAACAATAATTTGATGAAGTGATTGTGATTGCCACAACTTCATTTTCATTATAAAGCCGTCCCTTTGCTGCAAAGGTTTAAGTATGGAAAGATCTCAGTCTTTAGTATTTTGAGTCACATAACTGAATATAAAAATCTAGTAAAAAAAACCTGCTCTATTTTGTTCTTATAAGTAAAGTTTTATTATGTCCAACCATTAGGGCAAGTGACTTCTGAATTCTGAGCTCCTTTAATGACTAGCTTCTATTCATTAGTTTTGTTATCTACTAGCATATCAATTTAAGAGAACTTGTAAAATTCAGCTTTTGGAGAGACCAAACATCTAGAAAGCAACATTCTTATGCCAGCAAATATATCTATATATTATAAGACTTCCTTAATAAATTCATCTATTATAAGATCACCTCAAATACCTCTCTCAATTTCCAGAGTTGGAGCACCTGCAGAAGGCTCTGCTTGAGTCACATTCAAAACTCCATGATGGCAAGTTGAAGCTGGAATGGCAGCGGATTGAGCAGCAGCAACTACAGGAAGACATTCAGAGCAAGCAGCAAGATCTTGCACTGCTTCAAAAGGAGGTCATAGCTTTACAGATGAACAATTCCAGGTAGGATAAGTTGGTGGGAATCTGCTGGAAAAGGGCATAGAAAAGAAAGGTGGACTTTTTGCTTGACTGGTACTTATGGAATTCCATACTAATTTTTTGGTCTTGAGATGGAAGGGGGTGTATTTTATGTGTAAGGTGACTGATACTTCAGATGGATTATCTTTAAAATATCTAAAGAGCTCTACGGAATTAGGCCATCTGGTTCACCATTTGGCATCACGGTTAGATGCATTTATGAAACTGACTGGACTGGATGGCCAGAGTTTTCTTCCACTGCTGCTTTTAGTGATGTGCATCTTCACAAGGACTGGTCTGGTCTGACAAAAAATTTACCATGGCAGAGGTTTGTTGAGGATCACTGTTCATTCAATCATAGCATTTAATCCATAAAATCTTTTGAACAATAATGTTAGTTCTACAGTGTCATTAAATTCCATGAGAAATAGACGGATTTGTAACTGGCTGACAAACCACATTCAATGTATAGCCCTTACTGGAACTGCATCTACAAGGAGGGAAGAGGGCAATATTGTGCCCCAAGGTTCCATTTTAGGCCCAGTACTATTCAGTATCTTCATAAATGATTTAGATCAGGGGTGTCAAACTCAATTTCATTGAGGGCCGCATCAGCATTGCGGTTGTCCTCGGGGGACCAGGTAGGTGTGGCCAGGGTGGGCGCAGCGTACTGGGTGGGCATAGCTGGAGTGGGTGTGCCTACTGGGTGGGCAGGGCCAGCTCTACATCATTCACGTCAAGGGTGCCTGTGGGGGCCTGGGCAGGAGTGGGACAGATCTGAGAATCTCTGGCAGAAGGGGGTGGGACCAGGGCAAGCGCCAAGGCATGGTCCACTGGAAGAGCCTGCCGAAACCCCTCCCCTAGAGCCTATCAAGCCGGATATGTGAACTAGGCGAGGGCCATTTGCTGGCCACTTCCAGGGAATGGTGCATTTCTTCATTCCTCACAAAGGGTAACACCTCCCCAGCATGCACTCAGGGGATGGGGCCGATGCAGCAGGGGCTGGTTCCTCGCTGTTTCCAGACAGCCTTGTGGAGCTAAGACTGAATGCGTTTCAGCATAGATGGCCACCACAAAATTGTACATTGGCTCCCGGCTGGCCTGAGCCAGGGCCAAGGCAGCGGGGGCCATTCCCTCACTGTTTCCAGGATGGCTTCGCGGGCCACATGAAACCACGTCATGGGCCGCATCCGGCCCATGGGCCTTGTGTTTGACATGTCTGATTTAGATGAGGGAATAGAAAGGGAACTCATCAAATTTGCTTACAACACTAAACTGGTAGGAATAGCCCAGAAAATAGGTTCAAGATCCAGATGGATCTCAAAAAAATACTGTGCCCTATCTAACAAAATGAAATTCACTGTAGAAAAAGTAAGGTTTTATACTTAGACAAGAAAAACCAAATGTACAGGTACAGATTAGATGAAACCTGGCTCAATAGCAGTAACTGTGAGAAGGATCTTGGAGTCCTAGTGGACAATCACATATAAGAGCCAGCAGTGTGCAGCAGCAGCTAAAAGAGCCAATGTAATCCTAGGCTGCATTAACAGAGGGAGAGAATCAAGAACACGTGAAGTATTAGTACCTTAGTAAGATCTCAGAATATTGTGTCCAGTTTTGGTCACATAGAAAAGATGTTGAGCCTGGGAAAAGTATAAAAAAAGAGTAACAAAGACTTGGGAGGATAAAACATAAAGAACAATTGTAGGAATTGGGTATATCTATAACAGTGTTCCAATATTTGAAGGGCTGCCACAAAGAAGAGGGGGCTAACTTATTTTTCAATTTTCTGATGTTCTGTTATTTTTGTTTTTATTCTTAGATAGTTCTTGAAATGACTTCTTTAATAGACCTTTTGGTAGAAATTAATTTATTGGCTAATTTCTTCTTTAAAAAAGGTTATTAAACACTATAAATTCAGGAAACAAAATAACTGGAAAAAACACAAAAGAAAGGAAAAGTGAAAGAAAAAATAAGAATGGACTACCATCCTATTTTTGTGAATCATTTTGATATAGCATTGCTTTCTTTCCACAAGCATCTAAAAGGGAACAAATAATATATTTCTATAAGGCATTCCTGCAGAAATCCCACAGGTGCTCAGTGAGTTTCTTCTTGGCTGTGTATTTGGGCCAGTGGTGGCGAACCTATGGCACGGGTGCCAGAGGCGGCACTCAGAGCCCTCTCTGTGGGCACGCGCGCCATCACCCCCGTCCTAGGCCTTCAGCTGGGTTTTATAAAACGTTTTCGCTTTAGGCCTCTGCCGCTGTGTGCAAAAAAACAAAAAGTTCAGTCAATTTCAACTTCTCGCGGGGAAAAAAAAGATCTTGCAAAGTTGGAATTGATTGATTGAACGTTTTAGTCCCACCCAGTCTGCCGTTACCACCGCAGCCACGCCCACACAATGGGCCACACCCACCCGGCACTCGACAATGCATAAGTGGGTTTTGGGTTGCAGTTTGGGCACTCAGTCTGTAAAAGGTTCACCATCACTGATTTGAGCTTTCTCTATCTTTCTGGCCATATGAACTTCCTAGACCAAAGTGCAGGAGTGAGGAACTTCAAAGAGCGGAAACTATGTGAGATAAAGGATTCTCAGTAATTCTTTGGTGATGTCATCTAATCTGTCTACATTGTTGTTAAAAGAAATCTGCTGATAACATTATTCAGATTTGAATCATTTGAATCAGGTTTGCAGTCCCTCTTTTGGAATTTATTTCAAGGTTTGGGGACTTCTGTGAAGATGGCTGATTGAATACATGCTTAAGGGGGGATCCCTGAAAGGTTTTCCCCTGAGCTATAGCTCTTCAGCTACTATTTGAAGGTAGTGGCATTCCTTCAGTTTTTATGACCCACCTGGATCAGGAAGAATCTAAGAATTTCCCAAGACCCTCGAATACAGCTGACAGAATGCAAGCGGCTTCAGGAGCTGGGCTTCAAAGCTATCAGCGTGCCAAAAGCAGGGGGTGGGGAGAGGGAGGGGTTGTAATCTGTAGATGAAGAAGCCGCCGTTTCGAAATTTACCTTTCAAACAGATAATGTTGTGCCTTTCATTTCTTAATCAACTTCAAGGACTATTGATCTTTTTAAAGTTATTAAAAGAGGCTCTCTTTAGTCACGGTCTGCTACGCATTTTTGAAGACTTCACCATTTTAGGGATTTCTTTAGTGTTAAACAACAAGGAAGAAGGGTGCTAAAGCAAGCCAAAATAAGGAAATAGGAGGGGGGGAAAGCTGACAAACATAAAAACTGAAAGCTATAATTTTAATTTATTATTGTAACTTGTAGCTTGGTCTTTTTTGCTGTGGGTGACTAAAATTTTCTGATCCTGATTAAAGAGAGAAGTCAAGTTGGAGGAGCAAATTATTAGAGATATATTTGAAAGGTCTCTAAAAAAAATCTACCAATTTGTTGACCAGCTGTGCGCCAAGGATGATTAAAAAAACAAATTACTTTAGAGTTTCAAACATGTGTAGAATGTTACTAAACTACCAAGACAAGTTCACAAGTAGCTGAAAATCAGAGCAGTTCATTGCAAATTTGGAATACAAACCAGACATTAACTTTTATTTTTTTTACTTTTTTATAACCATATTTTATTATTTTTTTATAATCGCAGATTCTTAATATTTTATCAGCAACATGTTGTCTGAGTTCCAATATTTAGCTTACTAACACATGTTAAACTCCTTTCTCTCTACCTCGCTTTTCTAGCCATTGATAAAATGTATCCCATGTTCTAAAGCATTCTGAATCTTCTTTCTCCTTCATTTTCAATGTAAGTTTGTCCATTTCTGCACAGTCCAAAATTTTCCTTTCTCCACTGGTAATTCATATTTCCAATGTTGAACAAATACAATTCTTGCTGCTGTTAATTTTAACATTAAATATACACATTCTTTCATAATTTCCTGCAATTATACCTAACAGAAATAATTCTGATTTAAAATCTACATTTTTTTTTTTTTGTATTCTTGACCAAAATCTTTTAGCCTTAGGGTATGTCCACCAAAGATTATATGTGCCTGGTTTTTGTCTACATTTCCAACAATTGCTAGACATATTTTAAAACATTTTTGCTAACCTCACAGATGGTAAGTGCCATCTGTAAAACACTTTATATTTCTTTTTAAGCCACTGCGTTATTTTAGAATTTTTTCCCCAGTCTTTTCCAGTTTTCTAGCTCTATGTTATGCCCAACATTTTTTGGCCATGTTATCATTGTTTCTTTAACTTGTTCCTCTTCCATCTTTAAACTTAGCATATACTTAATACAGTTTCTTAATCAATTTTGCATCTGATGCCAATAGTATCTGTTCATATTCTGTCTGTTCTTTATAGAATCCAAATGTTTTAGCATCGTTTCCATATCTGATTTGAATTTGCAGGTGTGGCCTCCATGATAGATCAATATCCTGTTCTAGTTCTTTTCTAGATTTTAGTTTTCCTTCAATATTCAAAATGTCTTTATAAGTCACAATTTGCTCATAGTTAATTAGGTTTGGGTGAACAAATGCTTCCATTGTTGAAAGGCATCCAGGTATTTTCATGTAAATTTTTGCTTTTACCATTTCCCATTCTAAAAGAAGTGCATTTCTTATATAGTGCTTTTGAAAGTATCTGTCAAGTCTGCTAACAGTGGATGTTCTTGCTTGCCATATGTGAAGAAGCAAACATATCCTATTCAGCCTACATATCACTTCAAGAGTTAAAGCAGACAATGTTAACCCAGTCAGTGGGAAAGTATGCCAGCTATAATCATAACAATATCTTTGCATAGCACAGCCAAGGTCAGCGTAACAGGGGAAACTAGGGAGGGAGAGATTCACACTTCAAATTAATTGGAGCATATGATTGATGACTGTGAAAGGAGGGAGGGAGTTGTGTGTTGTCACGAGTGCTTGGGTGGTGGGGGTTTCAGTTTTTGGCTTTCTATTGTTCATGCCAAAACTATGTAGCCAATTAAAGGATTCTTTAAGGTAATC